GGTATTGTCTAGCTGCCTTAGCAGACAGGCACACTTGGATATGAATGATCAGCCATTATTATTTAGAGTCAATGTATATTTGAATGCAAAAAGTATTGAGGTAGGTAAAAAAAATTGTCCCAACAATTTAATTATCATGTAACAATAACTAAGATTATTTACAAAATGCATTGGCTAAGTTTTCTTTTTATTCATATTGTCTTTTGACAGATATATATATATATATATATAAAACTGGTCAGCCAGTTAAATTTTTTTTTTTAAATCAGGAATGCTGAAGCTCGTCTTGCCGTTTTTATTTCCATAATAAAATTCTGTACCCCTAAAAAATATATATATATATATATATATATATATATATATATATATATATATATATATATATATATATGTGTGTGTGTATATATATATATATATATATATATATATATATATATATATATATATATGTGTGTGTGTGTGCATATATATATATATATATATATATATATATATATATATGTGTGTGTGTGTGCATATATATATATATATATATATGTGTGTGTGTGTGTATATATATATATATATATATATATATATATATGTGTGTGTGTGTATATATATATATATATATATATATATGTGTGTGTGTGTGTATATATATATATATATATATATATATATATATATATATATATATATAGTGTGTGTGTATATATATATATATGTATACTGTGTGTACATATATATATATATATATAGTGTGTGTGTGTGTATATACATATATGTATACATTTACCTCATCTTTTTTGTCTTTTTGTCATATTTATCATGTTTTGGCTGTTGTACATTTCAGCCTTCTTCAGGTGGTTTTGAATGTCGAACTGAACCCTTTATTTCACTCACTGGAGTAGACTGTCCTAGTTCCATGTGTATAGACATATATATATATATATATATATATATATATATATATATATTGCAGGGCAGACTGGGTTATACAACCTTGGGTGGCAACCAAACTAAAAGAACAACTCTGAATTCAAATCCAGAGCTAGAGTTCCAAGACACTCCGATGTCATATTCAATTTTGTTCTGGCAACTCCTACCATGACGCTGATGCTAAGCTGTATTGGCATCTACTATTCCATATGACAACATTGATTGTGTGGAGAGCAGAGATGTGCTGCATGGGCAACTGCTGATCTCTCCTAAAAAAAAAAAAAAAAAAAAAAAAACACAGGCCTGTACCCTGTGGAAAGCATAACTCTTCAGGTGCAGATCCACGGCCTCTTGAGACTGACAGATTCCATAACAATAATGATAAGAACACAATATATGCTTGTGTGTGTATAAGGTTGAGTCATATATAATTTTTGATTTGGGGAACCAAGTGTAATAATGAATATACCATCTTAACTACTAATCATACAGAGCTAAGAATAGATTTAGTGTACACTAACATACAGCAAAGTTCAATGTAAAAAGCAGTGGATTGACAAATATAAATCTCTGTAACTGACCCCCATAAAAGAAAGGTAATGTTGTTCATGTGGTTGAATCATTTATTCAATTAGAGTGCTTACCATGCAGATTAACACTATATGCACATTTATACATCCAGCAGCTGCAAAGTGTCCAGACAAATTTGGTCAAAAACCATCCTGTGTATATCAATAAGAAAAATGTTCTCCTTCATGACAATGCAGAGCTGTATACAGATTAGGTACCTTCATGAGATCACTAAAAAAAGAGCATAGCAAGATGAAAAAGACGCCAAACTTGACGAAAACAAATCTTTATCGTATAAATGTTTAGTATTTTGGGGGTTTTCTTTTTACATTTTTTAATCGTTCCTAGCACATCCAAAATTTTCGCTAAAAAATCTTGTTTTGTTTTCAGTCAGAAAAATTGACAGATAATTAATCATATCAACCATTTTTTCAAAAAAAAAAAAAAAAAAATGAAAATCTCAGTTTGAAATTCTTTTAAAAATCAATTATAAGTTTTTCAAAACTTATTTTAAGAAAGTTAGAAATTATAATGTTTATTTAAAATATTTTGAAACAAGCTTCACTTAGTTTCTGCACCAAAAAGAAATTAATTTGAAAATAAAACAAAGCACATCATAACATTTCGCATCACTTGACAGGTGACGAAAGACATTTTCATGACGTATTGATAGCTTACATGAGGATAATTTATTCTATGGAGGGAGATAAGTGAAATTATTTAGATTTAAGTGAACAAATTATTTAACTTGTTATTTTTAAGGAAAACTTTCAACGCTCAATTATTTTTTTTTATACTTAGCTTTCACCTTTACATTTATGATGCTTTATGGAAAATATATTATAAAGAAATTAAAATAAGACTGTTAAGAGTGAGATTAAATTTCATAAAATTGAAATAAAGACGACTCACTGAAAACTGTAAAACAACTTCACAAAATTGAAATTTCAATGAAATATGTAAATGAGATAAATGGTACTTTTAAAAATGTAGTAATGTTGCTGCCGAAAATGGCTTAGGATGGTGTTCAAATTTTTTTAATTAGTAAAAACAATAATTCAAAATGCTCAACATATGTTTCACAGGAAGAATTTGCAATAATGAAATGGACGTTCAGCGGAGAATGCTTACACTCAAGCCACATGACATTTTACTGCTTGTGACATTCCGTATTTTTAATTACAGCCATTTAATGACTTTTGTGAACACAAAATTACATTTCTTAATTACTGAGGGTCTTCTGATTGGACAAAGCGATACAATTTACAAAGTGCTAAAAAGTGATCTATCTCATTAGGACATTTAGAGAAGTGAATGTGGCTTTCAACTAATTTTTTAATATTTTAACAACTTAAATGTAAAAATCTAAAATAATTAAAGAAATAACAAATAATTGTATTAAAAATTCATTTTTCATTGAAAAAATCTTTTGCTTTCAGAAAATACTGTCCATATTCTTATGAAAACAACTAAAAACAAATAAAAGCATTTGAAATTAAATAATATTTTTGTTTTATTGAGTTTTGTATATTACAATCCAGGGGTGATTTTCAGGTAGGTAGGGGTCCAATTAAAAAAAAACAAAAAACAACATGATTTGCTTTCCTCAAAGCCTTGTGCTTTTAACTAATATAATCACTAAACTGCGACTGAATTTCTAGAGTTTTCATAAAATTAGTTATTGGGTGGGGGGTAATAAATATAAAAAAAATATTTCTGCCATGACTTTAATAAAAAAAAAAAAAAAAACATATTTCTAATGATTTCCATCATCTCTGAATAGTTTCATTAACATCCGACAATTATTTTTATTTTTGCAAGATTTTCCAAATCAATGTGTATCATACAAAAAAAATGTGCTAAAAATTGTCTATGTTATTTTACTAATTCCGGTGATACAAAGAGAAACAAGGTTTTTTCAATGAAAATTTAGAATGTTCTAAAAAGAAACAAAAATTTTTTAAAAATAATTAAAAAGAACTTTGATCTTTCCTCTTAATAATAACATAAACATTTAGACGATAAAATTTTGTTTTCGTCAAGTTTGGTGTCTTTTTCATCATGCTATGCTCTTTTTTTTAGCAATCATATGAAGGTACCTAAATAAGATTAACTCCAAAAGATTTTAGTGCTCAGTTGGTCTGTTTTACTCCACCAACTGATTATTACCTTTTTTTTTTTTCAATTGCTGTGAAACACTTTCATGGGGTGGGGGGAACTTTCTCTAACGAAAACCAGTTTCAAGTTCCAGTTTTCCACATCTAAAAATGCAAAAGTGTTGTAATGTTATCTTCATTCAAAATAGCTGAGACTTAGGAAGGTCGGAGTTAGAGAGAATATCAAAGGAACAGGTGACCAAGTATAAGAAACAAAGAAGAAGTTTATTAAATACTCATACACAGTACAGAAAAACTTGTATAAGTCAAATACTATTTAAATCCTATTTAAATAATGTGGCAAGTAGCCATATTAGAGGAGGATTGTCCATTGTCACATTAATAGGGAAGAGCAAGAAGTATGCCAAGTCTAATCAACAACAAAAAGCTTACTCAAAAGTTATTAAGGAACTGGCTAAATGACAACAGTCATTAAAAATAATCAAGGCTGACCATAGACAGGATCATGGAAACTCCACAATCCTTTCAATAGCTGCATAATATTTACTTTACTAGGGTTATATACAGTTTGGAATTCAGTGCTGTCCTTCTCCTAGACCAGTTGCCACCCAAGGCTAAAAGAACAGGACCAAGTCTGTCCTGCTATTTACCCATATCAGGGGTGGGGAAAAGAAATGGATTCACATTAGCATGTAAGTGAATGTAATGAACTCTAATGGAATTCAAACTTGTCTCTCTGATTCCTCAATCCGAGCTGCGATCTAGAACTGTACAGTGCCTTCTAAATGAAAAGGTCATAATCTTAAAAATCTACTCATTCTTATGCTTTTTTAATTCAAATTAAAACAAGACTTACTTCAATTCCTTTTTCATTTTCTATGGCTTATCAACACTTTGTGGGTCACTTAAAGCCAGAAAATATTTTTTTTTAGATTGCATGAATTATTTTGGAGATAATAATGGCTTAGTGATTCAAGTCTTAATAATTTATAGCTGGGTGAGGACAAGATGGATTTATGCCTTTCCCAAGGGTATTTGCACATTAGTGAATATAACGAACCAAACAGGAACTGGAACGCGGTTCTCAGATTAACAATTCTAAGCCATTAACCATTACACAACTGTTGTAGAGTAGTTTTCACAGTGGAGGCTTGTATTTCACTAAGTCGGTCCTAAATTAGGTCCGACATACAAAATGTTAGGAACTTGAAATAATAGTTAATGACGCAGCAATCTAGTTGTGATGGTTGATACTTCAATGTCCGACATCGACTGACTCACTCAACTCCACTCAGCTGGTGACTGCTACCACTACTACTTATTATCTGTGGGAGAGTCTATTTACAATAGAATAGGTATGATCTAGTATAACAACAACCCACACATCCAAACTTACAGTACCTGATATTCCCAAGTGGTCACCCATCTAAGTATTAACCATGCCTGATGTTGCTTAACTTCAGTGATCACATGGGGACCGGTGTTTCAAAATTAAAATATTTGAAAATATGATAAGCTATAAATGACATGACAAATCCATTTTTTTTCAAAAGTAATTATCACTTCTATTATTATTATTAGTAGTAGTAGTAGACACCTTCTCACATCATGATTGTCATTCTCTCTCCTTATTCCCTTTCTCCTCTCTAGTAGCAATGGTGGAGATGGCTATGAATATATAGCCATCTCTATATATATTTTAGACTTGATGTCATTATCAAATGTATCAATCTGACTCATTACTACTTTAATGACAATAATAGAAACAAATCAATACATAAGAAAAGAGTAAAAGTATAAAATTATCATTAGATATGAGAACATTTTACTATTGTCATTGCTAAAAATATTTGAAACATAAATAATAAAGAAAGAAATTCACTACTGAACCAATAGTTAAGAAATAAAGTAAACAAAAAAAAAAATGTTATAACTTGAAATGTTTTTCCTAATAATTTGAAAATACATGTCACTACAATCAATAAGAAAAGGATAAAAGAATAAAATTATCAGCAAAATGTTATTAAAAATGTTTGAATGATAAATAATAGAAATCAATGAGATTAAACCAATAGTCAGAGTTAAAAAAAAAACAAACAGTATCACTAGAAATGTATTTCCTACAATTTTGAAATTACGAGGGTCATTCAATAAATAAGGTGAATTTTTCGGCATAAGGACTTCTAATACAGATAGTTTTACTTTTTTTAATTTTTTTTTGTTTTACTTCTTTTTCACGTGGATTTAATTTCTTTTGCAGATTAAAAAAAAAAACTTTGAGAGTTTTGGCGATTAACAAAGATAGCCGACCAAGAAGCATGCTCCAGGATTGAACAGCGGTCAGTTATCAAGTTTTTGGTTGCTGAAGGGTACAAACCAGTTGAAATTCATAGGAGAATGTCAAATGTGTATGGTGCCACATGTTTCAGCCAAAAAATGTCTACAAGTGGGCTAAATTGTTTAAAGAAGGACGAAGCAATGTTGAGGATGAAGATAGGCCTGGGAGGCCTACAGAAGTGAGGTCTCCTGAGGTGATCGAATCAGTCAATGACCTCATTCAGTCTGACAGAAGAACTACTGTGAACTGCTGAGACAGGTCAAAAAAGACATAAAGAAACGCAGGGGTCATCAGTCAGAAGGAGTCATCTTGCATCATGACAACGCAAGGCCTCACACAGCAGCCCAAACGGTGCAGACCATCAACAAGCTGGGCTGGGAACTGCTCCCTCATCCCCCTTACAGCTCAGACCTTGCCCCTTCAGACTTTCACCTGTTTGGTCCCTTGAAAGCGTTCATGAGAGGCATGAAGTTTAAAAGTGACGATGAAGTCAAAAGTGTCATGAGCGACTGGCTGAGACATCAGTCCAAATATTTTTACGCTGAGGGAATACAGAAGCTTGTGCACAGATGGGAAAAGTGTGTGACAGTGCTGGGAGACTACGTTGAAAAATAAAAAAAAAAGTAAGCTTCTATCTGTATTAGAAGTCCTTATGCCGAAAAATTCACCTTATTTATTGAATGACCCTCGTATCTCCTCTTTCATAAAAAGAGAAATGTTATATTTAAATATAAATATAGTATTATTCATGCCAATACAATGCATTAAATGTTCCTAATATAACATTTCCTAGTGATAACAGACATTCTTAATGAAGTAAACTTGCAAAAACACTTATTTTAAAAATGAAATAATTAATGTATACCTCAGCTTATCTTAGAAAAATATGTATATTAATAATTGTTATATTCTTATGCATTTGCAATATTCAAAGATAAAAATAAGAAAAACAGAATAATTAAAATAAAGGCCTTCCTTTTAAAATATGACATTGCTTTCTTTGAGCAATGAAAAAAACATGTCCATTCACTTCACCATCAGTATTTAATCTCCATCTCCATTACAATAGAAAAAAAATCACAAAGTTTTCCACAGTATGCTTGCACAATAGAGCCAAGCAGTTTTTGTGCTTGTGAATAGTTTTCCACTCAATTATGGAACTATACTATTATTATTCATACTTAGGAGGAAAACATTCACATTTATAACTAGAAAATAGGGGTTTATGACTAGACTCTGGTGTGAATCAAACTTCTGGAAGAGAGATTAAATTTTGCCTCTAGCCACATTAAACATCTTTTAGAGAGATTTTCAGTGACAAAAACATACTCAGCATCCCAGAAAACATGAAAATAGAGGTGCAGATCATGATTTTCTGATGAATACAAAAAAGTTATGATGAAAACTGATATTTAGTGTCCAAAATATTGTGAAAATAGCAGGTAAGGATCAATTTAATGCAGGGGTTGGCAACTCATTTGACCCCGCGGACCGGATCGTGTTATAATGACGGGTAGCGGGCCGGACGAAGGCCATCAATGAAAAATGAAGGAAAATTACATATGCAGACCCCTGTCAACCTAAATATTTAAAACCATAATGAAAATAAACATTGAGAAATAAGAAAAACAAAAAAAAAATCTAAAATTAAAAAAATACCAAACAAAAATTACTTTTCCTCAAGGAACATCAAAATACTTCAAAGTGAAAAAAATCAACCGAAGTGAAATGGATGAAATTATGATGTGTAGGTTTGAAACTGTTACTGAAAATTGTTCCACAAATGAACCACACACACATCAAACAAAAATGAAGCACATATACCCATACATACGAGTACAAATAGTTGCAAACATATACACTTAACGTAAGTACACATGCGGTATCATCCACACATTCATGAGGCATGTATGTATAATGTGCGTATGTTTAACTGTCTTTAGATTTCTGCTACCTCGCATGTCAGTCCCTCCCTGGCCTCTTTCACTTTATCGTTCATTTCACTTCTGTTATCTTTTAATGTAGCCAAGGGTCATAACAAATATGTATCCATTATTTGACATTAAACGTAGGCAACGCAACTTGGTAAAATAAGTCTCATGAAAGATAACCGGCAGATAGTCTAATTCAAAAGCCTCATCTCTCATGTTAAAATTAGAGTCATTGGTAATCAGGCTCGCGGGCCGGTCAAAACGCCTTCGTGGGCCGGACCCAGCCTGCAGGTTGCCGACCCTTGATTTAATGTATAAAAGTAACTAAGTATGTTTAAATATCTTCTGGAGAAGAATTTTCTAACATATTTGACAAAAAAAGGAGAAAAAAATGGGTATCCTTTGTTAGTGTTATTTGAAGTTGGGTGGGGGGTGATGACAAAATAATGTAGGAAAAATATGACAAAAAATTATGTTAATTTTACTTAATTTTCTGTTGCTGGGCCCCAAAATCCACTTGATGTAAGCCAGTTTTGAAAAAGATTTTCAAGTTTGTTATGGGATCTTACCCATAATAATAATAATAATAATGGACTATTCCATACTTAATAAATACTGCACCTCAGGAGTAGGAAAGTAGTCAGTACAAGTTTCTCTGCCTTCAGGCGGGGAGCAACCTGAAGGAGGCTACGCCGAAGGGCGGAGTCTCGTTCGGGGAGGTAAACCGGCCATGAACCCGTTTATACGGGTTGAATGGGCATATTTTTGGGCCGAGCCCACGGGCTCGGAGATCCTACATTAAATAACTGGCCTTGTGCCACATGCTGCCCCAGTGGTGGTGGGGTGACTAAATATCGTCAGTAGTTCAAGTAGAGTCAGAGGCAGTCCGAAACAGAGTCGCGTTCGGACAATTACTGCAAGACATTGGAATAGTGATACTAGTCGAGACTACATTGTTCTTTCTACTAAACCTGATTGTTTATACTAACACTTCTACTTCTCTGTACATATTCCTGTTTGTAATATATGTGTTATTCCATACCTGTGTTCGAGTTCTTCTTTATTGGTTCTACCTTGGACTATCACCGTGGTACAAGGAACCAGACCATAACAAAGTTAAACCTATCTGCTATTTATAACATTCAACAAGATTTTAATTACTTTCCTTGCAAAAAGGAGGCAAAACTGATCATCTAAAAACAACTGATTAAACAAGTGTGCATTTTGATTAACTTAAACTGATAAAATTTGACAAATACTTAGAAGTTCAGACAAATACCACTTCTAAAATTTGGAGATTCTACTTTCAAATTAAACATATCACCTGGGGCATGTTTCAAAAATGCTATATGTTCGCTTGTGTTTTCATCTTCAAAAGATATTAATATTTACATTATTTATATTGTTCAGATTGTTGTCCTTAGCTTTACTGTCACATTGACAACGTTTCAGCCATTTTAAACTCTGGCCTTCTTCAGGCAATATTTGTTGAGATTTCAAACCAAACCTTTTATTTAGTCCACAGAGCTAGATTGTTCTAATTCCACATGTCATGCCTTTGGATATCTCAGTTTCAGTTCATTCCCATTGATAACTCAAACTCTCCAAGGTTTTGTTCCCATTGCTGTGGCCAGGTATTGAACTCACAACTCTTTTGGATCAAGCAACCAATGTTTTTTGTCCTTGGGGGTCATGTCTCCTTGAATTACTAAAGAAAATGAACTGAAACCGAGATATCCAAAAGCATGGCACATGGAATTAAGACAATCTACCCATTGTGGACTAAAAGAGTTTGATTTGAAATCACAAGAAATATAACCTGAAGAAGGCTGAACCATAAAATGTGAAAAAATGTTGAGACTATGGCAATAAAGATTAGGACAACATTCCGAACAATGTAAATTGTCATAATACCTCACCTCAGAAATTTCAACATATGTTGAAGGATATTAATATTTTATTAGCATACCAAACCAACATCATGATACATAATTTCTTCCTCTTCACTGTGCTATTTTAATTTCAAATTTATACATTCATGTACAATTTTAGAGTAGATTCCTGGTGAAAATGTTTGGACATATAATCATCATTGGTATTATCCAGAGAATTTACCATCAGTATGACACTTGTACTTAGAAAGAGTGGAAATTTCTAGGTATACATAATGAAGAAAGAGGGCTTAGAGAATTTGACACCCATAGGATATATTGAAGAGC